CTATGTGGTGTTTTTTTTATATTTAAAAAATAAAAATATAATATTAAAAAATATATTTTGATACCATAAAACTCTCCGAGAAACAAACAATCTTTCATACTTTAGGAGTGAAAGGTTGCAATCATTTGAATTTGCTAGGCGTGCACGTGGACTTGTCGTCAAAGGACCCATTGACAAAACGTCGTCATAATTTCTTACATCTTCAACCCACCGAAAAGCCCAACTTGTTTAACTTGTTACCCCCATCCGATAAGTTGACTTTTTATTCTGACCCACTTTTTTTTCTTGTGTCCAAATTAATTTATACGTATTTCGACTAATTTCGCTTTGATCTAATTAAAGGCATATCATCCTTGTTGAGACTAGAATATTTATGAAAGATAAATTTCTCATATTTTAGTTCCAAAATTTATTAAAATTTAAACTCAAAATATCTATATAATAAAATACAATACAATTTAAATCTCAAAAGATAAACAAAATGACATTTACTATTCGCAGTTGAGATCTTTTTAAATTTTACTTTAAAATTAATCTGACGACTAATATTAACATTTTAAATTTAATAGGAAAAATAGACTCCTAAAAGTGTGTTTAGGGTGACTTTTTAAAAGTACTAACTTTTTATAACTACATTTAAAAAAAAAAAAGTAGTGTTTGGAATTGTCTCACCACCATTCCCACCCCCACCACCATCACCACTAACGCCACCCCACCACCACAACTACCTCTACCACCACCACCCCCTCTGCCCCACCCCCATCACAATTCACAACTACCACCACAACTGTCACCCCACCATCACCCCCCACTGCCCTACCAACCCCACCACCATCACCATTACAACCACTGTTGTTGTCGCCATCATCGTTGCCCCATCACCATCACCATTACAACCACTGTTGCTGTCGCCATCATCGCTGCCCCACCATCACCTCTACCACAATAACCACCATCACCATTGTTGACATTGCCACCATACCCACCGCCCCCACCATCACCACCACTACCACCACAACCACCCCCACCGCCCCACCAACACTATCGCCACCCTGTCACCACCATCATCGCCCCACCACCGCCCTCGTTGTTGTCACCATAATTATCGTCAGCCCACCACCACCACCACCATTCTTACTATTACCATCACCACCACCACCATCTCTACTACTGCCGCCCCACCACCACCATCCTTACTACTGCCACCCCACTACCATCCCTACTACCATTACCCTACCACCACCACCACTACTACCACCCCACCACTACCGCCATCCTTATTACCACCACCTCCACCATCACCACCATCCCTAAGACCGCCACTCCATCACCATCATCCCTACTACTGCACCCCCACCCCCACCATCACCATTGCTGTTACCCTACCACCACCGTTGTTGTCCCACCATCACTCCTACCACCACCACTCCCACTACCCCACTGCCACCACCACCGTCGTCACCGCCATCACCCATTACCATTGTCATCTCATTCTTATATTTATTACCATTACAACCATCATCTCATTACTATTGTCACCACCCATCACCACCATATTGTTGCCCACCACTCGTTGTCGTTCACCATTGCCACCAACAACTGTCACCCACCCCTATCACACCTACCACCACCACCCTTGTTTGTCCATAACTATTGCCACCCACTATCACCCCACCCCCACCACACCTACCACCACCCATCACACTATTGCCCAAAAGCACCCGTTGTCGACAACCACCACTATCGTTTCTGCCCACCACCATAATCCACCATTGCCACCACCACTGTCGTCGCCCCACCACAACAACTGGCAACAACCATCGTTGTCGCCCATTACCACCGCCGCTGTCAATTATGGTTGCCACTACCACCATCACCGTTGCCACCCATGGCTGCCACCACCACCACCAGGATCGTTGCCACCCACCATAACTATCACTGCCTCCTACTACTACCACTGTNCTTATGGCTGCCACTACCACCATCACCGTTGCCACCCATGGCTGCCACCACCACCACCACGATCGTTGCCACCCACCATAACTATCACTGCCTCCTACTACTACCACTGCTGTCCTCCACCTCTCACCCCCACTGTAATCGGTGCTTAATTAAATTCCTTTCTCTCTCCTCTATGTTTGTGATTTGATTTTAGGTGTGAATACAAATATGTTTATTATTGACCATTTTTTTATTACTCTATGCTTTTAGGCATAGACAATAACTAGTTTATATAATAAAGTACAAATACAATTCAAATATCAAAAGATAAATAAAATGACTTTTACTTTTCACGGTTGAGATCTCTTTAAATTTTACTTTAAAGTTAATCTGACGGCTAATATTTACACTCCAAATTTAATATGGAAAATAGGGCTCTAAGGGTGTGTTTGGAAGTGACTTTTTAAAAGTACTTTATAACTTTTCATAAGTACTTTAAAAAAAAATAGTGTTTAGAACCGTCCCACCATCGCCACTACCACCATCGCCACNAAGTGACTTTTTAAAAGTACTTTATAACTTTTCATAAGTACTTTAAAAAAAAATAGTGTTTAGAACCGTCCCACCATCGCCACTACCACCATCGCCACCAACCCATCACCACAACTAACCCCCACCACCATCACCGCCACCCCCATCGCCCCGCCCCCCACCACCACCACTACTGTCATCCCACCACCACCTTTGCCACAATAACCACCACCATCACCTCTACCATTGCACCACCACTACTGCCGCCATCCTACCATCACCGCTATTGTCCCACCATTATCCCTACCACCCTCACCGCTCCGCCATCACCCTTTACCACCACCACCCCACCATCGTCGCCGTCACCCCACCACCACCACCACTGTCACCACTGTCATCGCCACCATTACCGCCACTCATTGTCATCCACATCCACCACCATCACCACTACCGTCATTCGCCACCACTCATCACATTATCGCCTAGAAGAACCCATCGTCGCCCACTACCACCATTACCAACCACTATCACCGTCGTCACCTATAACTACCACTACCACCATTGTCACCCATGGCTACCACTATCACCATCGTCATCTAAAACCAACCACCCCCATCACAGTTGCTACTCACAACTACCACCATCACCACGATTGTCGTCACCCGCCACAACCATCATTGTCTCCTACCACCACTACCACCGTCGCCTACCACCACTGCCACTGCTCACCCCTAAATGTTGACCCCAAATTTCAAAAAAGAGAGAGGGATGGTGGTGATGGTGACGAGTTCCTTATTACAACTAAGATTTAAATTTTTTTCTCTCTCCTCTATATTTATGATTTGATTTTTGGTATGATTACAAATATATTTATTGTTGATCTTTTTTTATNAGTTTTTTCTCTCTCCCTACCACCACTACCACTGCTCATCCTTATTACAACTAAGATTTAAATTTTTTTCTCTCTCCTCTATATTTATGATTTGATTTTTGGTATGATTACAAATATATTTATTGTTGATCTTTTTTTATTATTATTATTTTGTGCCTTCAGGCACATGTAATAAGTAGTCTAAATTTATATTGTTCCTGCCATTACTTGCATTATCTCTCAAACTTATCCAACCCACTTTTCTTAAATTTTGAGATTGAGATGAATTTATAGTGGGATTTTTTAAATCAATATCCACACATGGGATCACCTTTAGATGCTCTTGCAATATCTAGAATTTTACTCCATTTCTTTAATATGGATAATTTATTTACTCCTTTTCTTTGTCATTTTCTAAATGTTAGAGATTCCTCTATGATTTTACCAAAATTCAAGATTTACCCAAATACATTGTACCTTGCAATTGTTATCTACTCCTGTCTCGAGCTGCTAAGGGGTTTTTATTTTTGAAACACATGTCAGTGTTTTGCTGATGTCTCGAATCAACCTTTTGTTGAGGAGCAATGCTATGAACTTAATTTACTGACCTAATTCATAATGACATTTAGATTGATTGTGGGCTTCATCAAATATTAAAACTTAGTATTGATCCAATAGTTCTACTGAAGCCATATCGTTATATCAATAAATTAGGTCAAATTTTTAAGTCTAAATAGTATTACTCTTTGTTGTGACATTCTATGTTTTTTTCCCCATTGCTGGGTCACTTGCCCAACACACATGTTTTGGCCTTTTGCAGCCATAACTCAAAATAAGTGATCTACTAGCTAACGGTTGCGGTCTGACTAAATATACTATTAGTCACCAGATAATTCAAAATTAATGGTATCGAAAAACTCTTTTTTTTGGTATTATGTCTTCACTCTTCATTTCATAAGATTCTAAAATGTGTAAAATTTTCTTATTTTATTAAATTTTTAATAAATAATTATAAATTATTTAAATCAAAATTAACACAAGAGTTAAATTTTGATACGTGGCGAATCGGTATCATACTCTTATCCAAATTTTTATGATCCATTGTGCACTGCAGAGCATGAGAAAAACCAAAGCTATTATGGGTGTCAGTTGGAGCCCCTCTTGCATCAGTCATCATCTCCACTCTGTTGGTTTTTGCATTCAAAGCTCAACACCATGGCATCAGAGTAGTAAGTTTTCGGGACCCACCACATGAATTCAATATTTAATCTATCGGTTCCAGTAAGGGCTAGCATTTGAAAATTTAGAGGTCTCAAGTTCGACGCTTGTTATATCCCCTAAAGAATAGACATCCTTATTCTTCGGGGGATATGTTATAAAATTGCTCGGGCTACAGTGACTTTCGAGAGAGTATTCAATGCAAGTTTGGATAGTAACCAAAAAAAAAAAAGATCCATTTGCTCACTTATTATATTTCTATTGGATGATAACGTCACATTGACATGACAATAACGACGTAATGTCACTGTGACATTCAATAATTTTCTCCATTGCAGACTTCATTTTTCATAATTTTGTATCTCATCCTTGCTAGTTAATAATGCTTGTGTCTTTCTACTATAGATAGGAAAATTTCAAGAGGATTAAACCCTCATTCATGGAACATGTTGCATTTTCATGGAAGTCATTTGGGACTAGTAATGAAAATTGGGCTTGTCACTGGCATCATCTCCCTCAATGTGAGTTTCTATTCTTCTTTACCCCCTCGTTATCCTGATGAAGTTGAGTTAATGTCAAAAGAATAATAATATGATTTTTTACATAACAAATTTGTTTATTTGACATGAAAAAAAGAAAATGTCTGATTTACTTACCTATGCACCAATTACATGTTACAAATACGACCTAGCCTAACTTACGAGTAATGTTACTTGAACCAAATTTATTGATTAAATTTGTTGACCATGGAATTTATGTTGAACATGAAGGCATAGCTGTGGGAAGGACTTTTGCAGCTCTAAAGAATTACCAAGTAGATGGGAATAAGGAGATGATTGCAATTGGGCTTATGAACATAGTTGGTTCTTCCACTTCTTGCTATGTTACAACAAGTTCACATATAGCTTTGAGCCTAATCCTTTAACCCCAAGTTGTGTAAAATCTCCAATTACTATGCATAATCTATCAAAAACATCAACCAAATGTTTTCATAAACATTGAATTTCAGGTGCTTTCTCTCGATCAACAGTGAATCACAATGCAGGGGCAAAAACTGCAGTCTCTAACATAATAATGGGAGTGACAGTGATGGTGACACTCCTCTTCCTCATGCCACTGTTCCAATACACACCAAACGTTGTGTTGGGTGCAATCATAGTCACAACAGTTGTTGGCCTCATTGACCTTCTTGCTGCTTATCACATCTAGAAGGTCGATAAATTCGATTTTCTTGTAATGTTGTGTGCATTCTTGGGTGTTATTTTCATCTCCGTCGAGTATGGTCTAGCCATTTGCAGTAAGTTATCCATGTTCTAGTGTTTTAGCTTATATTTTTTGGGTTGTGCTTCTTTTGGCTTGACAATTTTGTTGGAGGATGATACCTTTTTAGTTGTTTGTTTTGTTGGGGTGGGGTTGCCCCGGGGGTGGGGACAAGCCAAGATAGTATCACAGACAATTGACATTAAGTGCAAGAAATACTTATAACAAGAAAAATTAAGTCATAAGGCATGACAAGGAATATTGACTAGGGTGTTGCTGATAATGATCATGTAGGGATATCTATATTCAAAGTTCTCCTACAAATCACGAGGCCAAAAATGGTGATGTTGGGAAACATACCTGGAACATATATATATCACAATCTTTACCATTACAAAGAAGCTGTGAGAGTCCCAGGCTTTCTCATTTTGAGCATTGAAGCGCCAATAAACTTTGCCAACACCACCTATCTCAAGGAGAGGTTAGGAGCTGCTATAAATATCTCTTCTCACAATTAACTCCCATTTTTCACAGTTGTTTTGATCCTTCTTTTTATTTGAAGGATTTCAAGATGGATAGAAGATTATGTAACAGAAGAAGAAGAAACCAAGAAGCACTTTGGACTCCACTTTGTGATTCTTGATTTATTTGGTAAGTCTTATGAAACATGGTTGTTTTTGTTCCATCTATATCATTTTTGGAATACTGAACTGTCTTAGATCTTGTGCTCGTGATTCTAATATATATTCTAGATATGCATAATCAGTCGTATAAAAAAATAGGATTCTTTTGTGAAAGTCGAGATTGATAACTTGAGGTATTAATCATTGAAGTGAGCCACCCTGATGGATTAATTTCCTTTTATATAATATAATAAGGTTGTTTAATTGAGCCAATGCGTCTAAATTTTACTTTTTGCTCAAACAACTTAAATGCTATTGAAACTATCAGAGGTGCAATATAAGATATGTGAGAGTTGAGAGGGGTAAAACAACTAACTCCAATTGAAAGGTACCATATGTGACAAACTTGATAGTTGAAGAAGAAATGTGAGAGAGATGGCATAGTTAAACTTCAAACCTTCTTTGTTTATCCTCCACTAGTCAGCAAAATAATGGTAGCATAAGCTGCTTATAAGCATCTGCAGTATCCCATCTAAAATATAAATGTAATATGCTCCTATCTATGTTTTTCAGCTGTGAATGCCATAGACACAAGTGGAGTCTCATTTCTCAAGGATTTAAGAATGGCTATGGAAAAGAAAGGGCTTGAGGCAAGAAATATCGACTTTCTTTTCATTTATCTTGTGCCATTTAGTTTACAAATAGTCTAATACTTCAAATTGTTCTTTTGGCACCACAGCTTGTAATGGTAAATCCACTTGGGGTGGTGATGGAGAAATTACAGCGGGCAGATGAATCCCGGGAATTTATGAGGCCAGATGCCCTTTTCTTGACTATTGGAGAGGCCGTAACTACACTGAATTCCACAATCAAGAGTCAATCATCAAACAATGTATGATGAAAAGTTGTTCATCATCAACTTCTCCTTTTCTGTAGCAACTTTATTACATGATAAAATCATCCAGAATCAATATAAAAACACCAAATGTATAACAGTATAGCATTGAAGTCCAAAAAATTTTCATCTATGGATGACATTAAGATACTTTGTGTAACCATAAACTTGTATAAGGCTCACTTGGATTTTTCATAAAAATCCCGGTTTAAGGGGCACTAGTGAGTAGGGTGTCATGGGCCAAATTACCCATGTGTCTCGTTACCCAGCCCGAAAAAAGTAGGCCCAATAGTTGGCCAGCCCAAGCCTGAGCCCGCGCTCAATATCCTTAAAAAGAGGGCTTGAGTTTGCCCCCAAACTCATTACTTGGCCCAAAGCCCGGCCAAAGAGCCCACTTGAAAAAACTCTGCCCAAGAGCCCGCCTGCCAAGCCTAGCCTGCCCACCCTTTTTTTGAAAAAAAGTTATACTTTTAGACCATTAAATTTGAAACTTTGAAATAAGACTCCTAATGTCGGAATTTGAAGTTTTAAAACTTTAGATTCTATAAATAATGCATTATTTTCTTTTTCATTTGTTAAGCATACAAGTTTTAAAGGGTAGAGTAATGCAAATGATAGATAAGTGAGTAGGTGTCAACCTAATTGAGATGTATTCATTATATTGGATATAGTTCATCTCCTAATCAAAAATAAAATTATTCATTATTTTATTTTTATCCATTTTAACTCTACTTTTGATTCAAAAATATAATTTATATAATTATTAAGTTATAAAAATATTCATTACTTTTAAATGAAGTTGTATATAAAAAAGCCCACGAACAGGCCTGCCCAGCAAGCCCGCCTAATAGGCTCACAGGTTAGGCTATGGGTAGCCTACTCCTATCTGAAGTCCGGCCAAGCCCAGGCGATAACTCACTTGAGTAAGGGTTAGGGTCTACACTACATAGGCCCGACTCAAAAAAAAATCCGCTGGCTAGCTCCCCAGCCATGGACACCCCTACTAGTGAGCACTTCAATGTCTCATTTCGTATCCTCGAGATAGTATGTCATCTTTGAAGCTGTTCTTGTTAGCTTGTAGTATGATAAAGGGTTTTCCTAGTTCATTTTGGGTGAATGGGAATAGAAATACAAGGAATTACAGATGATTATAGATTAACTAGATATGGATGTCTAGAATCACAAGTTAGAAGCTTCAGAAGACAAGAATAAAAGTGGTCTTTCAACTGCAATTTCATGTTATATGCTTGACCTCAAAAGTGAGTAAAATATATATAGTTTTCTAAGTGCAGGAATCTATCAGTTAGTAACTCGGTCAATTACAGAGGTCGTCTCCTTAGGAAAAACGAAGGACAAATTCGAGAGGTGATATAAAAAAATAAAAATAAAAAGATCTTTGAAGGTTGAGAATTATAATAATTAAGTTAAATTAAAGATAAATTCAATAAAGAAAGAACTAGATAATTTTTGGATTTCATCCCACCTATGAACAAGCATTTCTACTCTAAACATATAACCTTTTTTTTAAACATCAGAAATCTAAATATATAACTCATATGTTTTTGTATTCAAATTAGTACAAACGAATGATTTTTAGTTAACAACTATTGAAATAATTAAAAATAGAAATTGAAAGACAATTTATGATGAAAGAATCATTAGTACCAAAACCAATTGCATATAGATAATCGAGAAATATACAAACCAAATAGGTTTTCGAAAGTATAACTTATTCAAATAATCACACAAACATTAAAACCCTAGTTTATGCTTGACGATACCTAGAATAATTTCCAAGTATGAGCTTAGGCGCGAATGTCATACAAGGAGGTCAGGCAAGACACGCAGAGCTTAGAGGACCAGAGCTAGAGCTCACCCAAACAAGACAGTAGCGGAGATGACAAGGGAACAACTAGGTATTAACAAGAACCCTATAGGTGGCAAAGATTCATATTCAAGGCACAAAATCCTCAACCAACCAAGATATTCTCCAAAAATCAAAGAGGAATCCACGGGTGAAAGGCTAAGATCTCGACACAGATCCTTCAAAATAAGGAACAACTCTATAAATACTGTGTAGCACCTCCAATAAGGAGAGAGAATGTCTGATTGCCTGAGAGGCAAACTGTAAATTTCATCCACATTAATTAAATCAAGAGAAACAGGAATCTTCATTGAATAGTGGATTAGACAAACTCTTGAGCTGGTGAACCACTGTATTTTCACTATGTAATTCCCCCTAATCTCTGAAATCCTTTATTACGATCCTTACGAGCCAAGGAGCTCAGTCACAGGTTGTCAAGCATAATATCGACCCTCTGCTCATCCATGTTAATTACACCATCTGTTTAGCGCCGTCAATGGGAACCGACTGTTCCAGTTGAAAATACGCCGATCTTTTAGTGACTGATGGTCTCAACTCGCAACATGAGCAGAAGCCAAACAAATCTACCACGAATGTAGGATCAGTAGGAAGTTACCAATGACAGAGAACCTGAGAATGTCTTAGAGACAAATCCTCCCATAGTGAATCCCCCCTCAAATAACGAATTGGAGGCCCTTCGCCTAGTTAATCAACGTCTGCAACAATAGAATGAGGAGCTTTTGAAGCTCTTGCAACGCCCTCAAAAGGCATGACCGGCCCAAGAAGGCCAAAATAACCTACCTCACGGAGAACAACAACACCTCGATCCCCTCAGAGAAGTCAACGAAGGAGGGAAAAATAGCAAGACCTTGGTTTATGTTCCCCATCTACCCCCTAGGAATGGACACAATGAAGAAGTGCAAAATTAAAACGTTGGGGGCGAACGAAATGATTTTTTCCCTTATCACCAGGAGAGGAGAGAACAGTACTGGGAGCAACGCTTCATGGACATCCAGCAAGAGCTCAGCCACACTAAGGAAGTTGTGAAGAGCAAGGCTCCAGTCACAATGGATGCCCTGGTGCAATAGACTGAGTCCCCATTCACCACTGGCGTGCTGCATTTTCCCCTCCTCCAAAATTCAGAATGCTGCAGATAGAGGTTTTTTTGATGGGATGAAAGACCCTGTAGACCATCTCAATACCTACAAGAACCAGATAGAGCTACATGGATATTAGGACCCCATGCGTTATAGAGCCTTTGCCATCACGTTGAAGGGCTAAGCCTTGGCGTGGTTTAGTTGGCTCCCCTACCCTCGATCTTATCCTTTAAGGAGCTTTCTATATCCTTTGTATCTCACTTCATTGGGGCTCGGACATACAGAAAGTCAAGCTACCACTTATTGAATGTGAAACAGGGACCCCAAGAGAACCTTAGGTCCTATGTCCAAAGATTTAATTCGGAGTCACTAAAAGTGGATGTCCCAGACGAGAAGTTTGCCATTACTGCATTTATAGCTGGTTCAGGCATGCAATCCAAAGACCTGATGTTTTCTATTTCAAAGAACCCTTAAGCAAGCATGGCTAAGGTGCTGACCAAGGCAGAGAAGTACATAAACAGTGAGGAAGGTCTTCTCTCAAAGGTAGGGAGCTCATTCATGCAAAAAGATAAAGGGAAAGAAGAGAAAAAGAGGGAGGTACCCACCTCGGCAGCTCCCTCCTCTCATCGCCACGATATCATAAATCTTGTATGAGGTACAAAATGAGAAATTCCTAAGGTGGCCACCCTGGATGAAAGCAGACCTAGCAAAAAGAGATCCCANTAAATCTTGTATGAGGTACAAAACGAGAAATTCCTAAGGTGGCCACCCTGGATGAAAGCAGACCTAGCAAAAAGAGATCCCACGAAGTATTGCAAGTACCACAGGGATCATGGTCACCACACTGATGATTGCATCCAATTGAAGAAAGAGATTGAGTTCCTGATCCAACAATGGCAGTTGTGCTGCTACGTAGCTCAAGATAATCAGAATCGAGCTCCACCACCTCAGCAACAGGCCCCTGTGCAACACCAACAACCCCTAGGAGAAATCAGAGTAATATTTGGAGGATTCATAAGAGAGGGAGAATCTAGCTCTGCCAGAAAGGCTCACATGCATAGAATCAGAGCTGGCGAAGCGTTGAAGGTGCATACCGTGTCCAAGGCANAGGGAGAATCTAGCTCTGCCAGAAAGGCTCACATGCATAGAATCAGAGCTGGCGAAGCGTTGAAGGTGCATACCGTGTCCAAGGCACCTCGGTTGAGCACAAACAACACCTTCTCAGACTCAGATTTGGAAGGTTATCAACATCTCCATGATGACCTATAGGTGGTAAGGGCTTTCATGGCCAATATAACTGTTCATCGAGTTCTAATTAACAATGAGAATTCTACAGACATCCTTTTTGCCTCTGTATTTGACAAAATGAGCATAGGCAAGGAAAAACTTGAGCCAGTAAGTGCTCACATGTTGGGGTTCGCAGGAGAGAGGATATTGCCCCTAGGCTCAATCTAGTTTGTTCTCACTACGGGAGGTCCTCCCTGCCAAGCCACCACCGCAGTAAGATTCCTGGTGGTTGATGCCCCTTTAGCATACAATATACTACTTGGGAGACCTTCCCTCAACGCGATGAAGGCAAGCCCCTCTGCTTATCACCTGGTTATGAAATTTCCAATAGAGAATGGAGTTGGAGTGGTTCGAGGAGACCAACGTGTAGCAAATGAGTGCTATATGACCTCGATAAAGCAGAGAGAGGTTGAAAGTATTCAGTTAGATGAGCTCGACATGAGAGGAGAGTTGGAGACTAGACCAACACTGTCAGAAGAACTGGAGCCTGTTCAGCTCGATGAGGAGCCAGAGCATCTTGTTTACATCGAGTCAAAGCTAAGTAGGAAAATTAAGGACCTCCGCATCCAGTTCCTGAAGGAGAACATGAGAGTGTTTGCTTGGAGACAAGAAGACATAGAAGGTATTGACCCCTCGGTTATCACACACAAGTTGAGTGTGAATCCCACCTGCAAGCCTATTAAGCAGAAACAAAGAAATTTTGCCCCTGAACAACAAAAAATAATCAATAAGGAGGTCAGCAAACTTCTTTACAC